GCTTTATGGCAAGTGCAGCTGAAACTAAATAAATAATACCAGAGCTGATGGAAGTTCTAAATCAAGTTGACTCTAATTAAAACTATCCAAAGAAGTTCCAAAAATTATTAGGCCATAAATATGAGGAGTTACGGCAAAATGTGACGCCCACTGCGCACATGCGCACAGCTCTGAGACGGGACAGCCCAGCCTGAGTGGGCCAAGAGCTCCAGCTCATTCCCAGACATCGTTCACATGTGCGTGGGCCCAACTCTGCGGGCAAAGTCAACAAAGCGCAAAATACAACGAAGTACAGATACAAAGACGCTTGCCAAGTGTTGCCGCTTCAGTTGCCCAGGTAGCTGCAGAAGCACCTTTCGGGCAACTTCCACAATTAGTCACCGTTGCGGCTTAAGACACCGCGGGCCAAACAAGTTAACAAAATAAAGCGCCTGAAACTACAGTTTGAGCTGGAACCAAAACACTTTACAGCACTCGAAACTATGAAAAGCTTTTTTTGCGATAAGCCCCTTAGGCAACTTATTAAAAGTTGTACGTGCAGACGCTTGGATAGTTGGATTGATGTGATATTAATATATATAATATATATAATATGATATTAATAGGATTGAACGATTGTTTGAAATACCTATATTTGATGAGTAATCCGAAAAAATGTATTTACTTAAGAAATGTCAGGAAAATAGCCGACTGCCAGATACCCTGAACTCCGTCTTTAGCAGTTTAGTTTTTAGATTTAAGAGTATCGATGGAAGGACATATTTCTGCGACATAATTCGGAGTGACATCCAGAGAGTCGACTAAATTCGGAGTAAAATTTGTGGAAATCCCAGCGTATGTTTTGACAGGCAATGCCCATTGTCAATAACACGTTTGCTGGGCTAGCAGTGAGTCAAAATAATATTAAAAAAAGTAATTAAAAAAAAGAGTGTGTGTAGTTAGAACACGCCTTAGCCAAGATTTCTTTATTGTAATTATGATAATTTTGGTAGTTAGATTTAAATAAATAAAAATTATATTCCAACTTTTGAGATCTCGACTTAAACAACAAAGAAGCTACCAATACTTGGGCAACACAACAAAGAACCAAGGGTCAAAGACACTTTGATTAATATCTTAGAATAGCTCATTATGAATTATGAAATACCCAAACTTATATGAAAATGTGCACTTACAAGGTCTTCTACCCTCTGAAGACAGTCCAAAGCAATTTTTTTTGCAACTTTAATTCTCACAAGTTTTCAGCAAGTGATTAAAAATTGCTCAAGTCAGCAGACAAAATGTGGCTTTAATTGTTTGTGTTGTGGCTACCAACTGGAGGCTCTTTCAGCCGCAATTCTTTTGTGTTCCCAAAAAAAATAAAATAATAAAAAATAGCAACTACAACACCTCTAATTTGAACAGCTTTTTAATTACGCTGCCCGCGCTAATGGAGCGCTCCTAAAGACATTGCAACACACGATGAGAAATTAAAAAAATAGTCAAAAAAAATTATCACTGAGTTAAGTGAAAAAAAAAACAAAAGTAAATGAACTTTTGTTGGCGGAAAAGCAACTGTTTAAATAATAATAAACATTGATTATACAATGCTAAACGAGCTTAAAAATGATTAACAAATTGACGGATTTATTTAAAAAGTTAATTTGCAAATGCAAAAAACTACGAACAAAGCTTTATGAAATAAAATATTTTATATATTTAAAATTTCCCTATATATTTAATTTATAATTTTAAAATAATAATAGTTTAAAGAGTTTTAACTCTTATAACATTTCGACTCAAATATAAACAAAAATGTATAAAAATAAATGAAGTAAATTTCATAAAAAATATGTACAAATTTAAAAATATCCCAAATCATTCGAACTTCCATAATATTTATTAATATCTCAGACTTCCCTGTGGTTAGCAGCTGTAATTTTATTTTTGATATCATTAATTTCGAACTGTAGCCAAGGAAAACACTGATTGGTATACAGACCATTAAGCTGAGCCAACAGAGCGAACATTTCAGGGCCAAGAAGTGACTAAGCCAAAGCAAATTGCTCTTGGCAGCTCGGAGCAACAAATTCAACAAATTCAAGAAATTCCACAATCAGCTGCCCGAAAGCTGCAAAGTTCCTTTTGTTCGAGTGCAGACAACAAATTTATGAGCTAATTATGTATGGGGAAACATGTTTTATGCCTCTAGTCTATGATAAGTTTGCAGTCTTTCAGTTTAGTTTGAGTTTTTATCATCAACTTGGCCAAATGTCTGACGACTTCAGTTGACTTGACTTGACTTGCGCGTTTAGACCAGCTTCCAAATACCTGTGATTTATTTATGAGGAAGGCAGCAATATTAAGAGCCTAAGCTTTGACTGGGGAAGCTGTTAAAGTCGACAAGGAAATATACCAACAGCCCAGCAGCAAGGATAAGTTTCAAGATATTCTAACCCCTTCGGCGAGCATCAACTTCAAACACTGTACAAGGCTTGCGAAATATATTACTGAATAACTTTTGTGTTTTTATTGTAAGGTGAAAATGTCATTGAACCAAGAAAAAAAAAAACAAATTTTTGTCCTCAGATTTTGTTGCAAAATGTAAAAACAAAACTTGTTATTAGCTTTAATCGATATCATAGAGAACACAGAAAAGATGGATTAATTTAAACTAATTTGATGACAGGCAAAAAGACGCAGCATATACAGACGGATAGATGAATGGACGGACGGACTTGACTAGTTTGAGTTGCCTGTTGAAAAATTTATATAAATTTAATGTAATTAAAAAGATCTGAACTTAAATATTTAATAAATCTATGGTGCTAAGGAGAAGCAATAAAAAATACTATGAGATATATATTATTATGTATGTAATGCAATTCTTGAGAAATTATGTATTGCAGAGAAAATATAGTTTATTACAACTGAAGACTGTAGTTCTCACACAACTAGCTAGCAGGTAAGTTACAGTTGAGCTTGGCTGAAAGAAAAAGATCCATAATGTCGCTAAGCTTTGTAGCTATCGCTTACCATATGCAGTTAACCTGGCTGACTGACAAACTGTTATTATAGGTTACCTAAAGATCTGAGGCAATCTGTCCATAACTGCAACAGGTAAGCGCATAACAGCCACAACAACAACGACGACGACGACGACGAGTGCCACCTTTTAAGCAGCTGTAAATAATTGCAGAGGAGCAGCAAAACAAAGTGACAACCGACTTAGTTCTCAGGCAATGCTAAATGGTTTCCTGAAACACGAAAAAGGCACAAAAACAAAGCCCAACCAAAGCCTGGAACCCCACTCAAATGCAACGTGTATCTGAACACACAGTTACTTTGCAGCCGAGTGGGGGAGACTTGTTAAAAAAAAGCAGAAAACAGAAAACATTTACGCAAACTCCAAACAATAGCAAAAGAGCGCTAATTAAGAGAGAGACACGTGTATATAGAGTACGAAAGAGAGGGGAGATTTGATTCGTAGAGTCAAGTAAAGTAAATTTCATGAGTTTTGTTGCATTGCAGCTCAAAACAATGGAGAAGCAACAGCAACTAAAGCCGAAGAAATCAGAGTATACTAGAGAGCACGACTAGGCTTATACCCTGTGCGCATTTCTTTCTCTTAAATGGTGCTATTTTAACCAGAAATTGTATTTCTTCTAGTTCTATATCAAGTCATATTTTTTAAAGTTTTTATAAAAATATAAAATATATAAGAATCATTTATAACTTTTGTAACTTTAGGTCTTATAGTTTATTCGAGTCTTAAGAGTATAGGCAACAGTTTCCACTAACTGTTGCGCTTACACCTATAGTCAATATACCCATTTTTTCGCGCTTCTACAGGGTATAGAAACACTTTGCCAAATGCGCCAAACTCATGCCGTTTAGCCAAAAGCCGTTACATAATTTCGCAAGCAAAATGCAACTTGCAATCTATATGCCTGCTATATATACTATGTATACCATATATATAGATATATATATGCATTATAGAGGTCTTTAAACTATTTCGAATGCAACTCCAATTTCTATTTCTACTTCTCGCGCAGTGGCGCATGCGCAGCCAAGCAGCGAAGCGTCTCACGGCTGACTCATTCGAAATGGGTCAAATTCGCTGTAGTTAAACTAATTTGAGTTTTGGATTTTGCAATGTTTTCGAACCTGCCCACGGGCGCTATGTTTGGCATTTGTGTATTTGTTTCTGTTTTGCATATTTTGATCGGCCTGTTTGATGGGCCATCAAATTGCATTTTAATAGTCGTTAATGTGATGCGACCTTGTAACCAGCTTGTTGTTTAGATCTTGATGAGTTGCGTCTAACGATCAATGCTGCCATTGCAAATACAATTAAGTTAACTTCAGTTGATTCCGTTTATTGCAAATAGATGTATTCTGATGAAGCAGTCTTTGCAATTACGTGTTCGCTTTCTATTTCTGCTCCTTTTTTTGGACCTCATTCTCGATGCTTCATTCACTCTCACTTGGAAATCAGCAGTTTGTAAAGACGGAATCGCATAGAACGGCGAATAACAGAAAAGAGACAGAAAAAGAGAGGAAGAGTGAGAAACTGACAGACGAAGAGAGGAAGGACAGAAGAAAATTAGGGAGAGAGACAGATACTGAAGGAGAGAAAGATAACGACAGAACAGAGCCGGAACTAGCGAGAGAGAGAGAGAGAGAGAGAGAGAGAGAGAGAGAGAGAGAGAGAGAGAGAGAGATTCAGACGAACTGAAAGAAATAGAGAGAGAGAGAGATATACAGAGAAAGAGGCACATAGACATAGGTAGCAAGAGACAGAGAGAGAGAAAGAGGCAGAGAGAAAAATAGATGAAGTTAAAGAGGATACGCGAAATATAGCGACAAAGCGATTGAGACAAATAGAAGAATCGAGAAAGCAGGAGAGAGACAGAAACAAAGAAAGAGACAGACAGACGAATCAACTCGAGCTCAAATTTGATGTCTAAGTAGTCTAACACTAAGTATCACCCGAAACTTATAAGAGTATTCACAATAAAAAAACCAACACATTGAGCACACCACAAAACACTTTCAAAACAACACACAATATCTACACTACAAGGAAACACTTAAACTGCGTAAAAGACAATTAGCTTAACATAACACTCTATCTATTTATATGCATATGTATATAATATATATTATATATATGTGTATATAGAATGAACCGCTTGCACATAGACACCGCAGCACCGAAATATCAGAGTGGCAAATGGTACTGGGATGAGAAGGCAGATAGACTACACTTTCAGCAGTTTTACGACTTGGAGAATGCAAATGATCGTTTTATAGATACGAATGGATATAAATTTCTGCGGACTATCAATCAGGAGGAGGAGCTGATCTTTCGTGAGGTATTCGCCAGACCCGATACCACATTCGATTCCGATACCGTGGTGATCAACGATGTGCGCGATCTGGTATTGTTTTTGATGCCGAAAGAGTTTATGAGTCTGAAGTTTCTTGAGTTTATGCATACGCCAGCTGTCCATAGACTGCTGCATGCTCTAGCTATATACTTTGAGTATTTTCTGCGCATGGTCGAATTCCTGCTGATACGCCGCGATGAGCTGGCTGGGAAGATGGCACAAGTGCAAAGTGAGCAGACCAACGAAATGAAGCGAATATTCTCCACAAACTTGAGGCAGTACCGCATGCTGGTCGCCAGAAGCTATAGTGCGATCATCTTGGGCAGGGGCGAATTGAAAAAGTTCTATCACACCAAGGAGGTTTTCAACATATCGTCGAAGATCAAGGATCTATACTTTTACGAATACTTTTTAGCGGTCTGCACCCAGATCGTTTGGATCACCATGCATCGACGAGCCTATTACGTGATCGAGATGGAAATGAATCGACTCTTTCGGTCCGAGCACTTTCTCAGTAATTCTTCAAAGTATCTCAAATTTACACCAGTCGAGCGATCTCTGCTCTATGGCTGCAATTGCAAGATCTTCAACTATCGCATTCAGATCTCGCCTTTGATTCAGGAGCTCCACCATGTAAGCAGTGAGGACATGCCAATACTATGGATAGGTGAGCGCAAATATCGTGGCTCCAATCCTCGGATTGCCCAGTTGGAGCTGGAGTATATTGTGCCGGGGACGCAGCTGCATATGATTGATATGACTCGCGGCATACTGGGACACCCCAAAAAGCTCTACGATACCATTCTAATGCTGGACTGGCCATCGGTGCGCTTCGCCAACTTTTCGCAACAGCACGATCCCTATTATATCGTACGACATCCCAGTCAGCCCGTGCCCAACATCGATGAATTGAAAATTCGTAAAATGGCTAAGAACTATGAGACATATTACAAATTATTCCGTATCTACGAGCCAACCAGCCGTGAAAGCCTAATGAATTGGATGCATCGCGAACAAATCATGACGTACTATAAGAGAGGCGGAGATCTATTTAACATCATTTCACGCTGCGAGCATCAGCTGATCGGCAAGGATGAGCGACCGCCAGTGCCCAAGATAGTCGCCAACTATTTCCGTGTCATATCCAGGCTACGCAAGCAGAGCTCCATCCATATTGTAACTGCGCAAGACAAAACGTACAAAAAGAAGGGCGCAGAGTACTTTTTTGACTAGAATCCGAACTAGGTTATACTTTTACTTTTATACTTTAAGTATTCCTATTGCGATTGCTCCCTCTTCAACGCGCATCTCATGGGGTAAAGACGCTGTTGCGATAGCCCAGTCTGCTCGTGCCACAGGTCGATGAGCTCAGAGTACGTAAAATAGCTAAGAGCTCTGGGATGTGTTACTGAATATTTCGAATCTACGAGGCATCGTGAACAAATCATGACGTACGTGCTCGGCGGAGAGGAGTGACCGACTGTGTCCAGGCCATACCCAGGCTACATCAGGAGAACTCAATCCGAATTTTAACTGCCCAAGTTGTAGCTTAAAAGGAGTGCGCCGAGTACTCTTTTGACTAGTATCGTTATTAGTGGAATACATATAACTTTTAAATTTTAAATAATATTGATATTACTGACTTTTTTTCACTCATGGGTATCAAAATAGAAGCTATTCTGTGGCCAATTATGTGCTTTTACTTGGCCTACTCTGCTCTATTACCTTAACTACGAACATTTCTTCAATTACCTTCATTTCTTATTCTCTCTCATTTTAGCGCAAATTTCAAGGCAGCAACAAATCAATGCAAATTTGATACGATTTGTGTTATTTTTGCTTCGATGCGCCTTCTAAGGTCATATTTCACCCCAGCTCAATATCAGCCGAGCTGCCCAATTCGCAGTCACATAAACTGGTTCATCTATGCGCGATAACAGAATCCGGACAGCTTTGTAATTAACCAATGTCTATATATCTTATTGTTTAGCCATGCGAGTTCGAACTGAAAACCAAACAGGGGTGCATAAATTAGGGTTTTTTTTGTGGCTCAAATTAAATTAAATACGCCAAAACTACTGGCAAATAGACTTGAGCCCAGAGCTGGGCATAGACAAACCGAAAAACCTCCTGCTCCTGCTTCAGCTCCCCCTCCTCCTCGACACATTGTTTGGGCCACTTTGGCTGACACTCAAATTCGATATCAGATTTCGCGTGTGGCAAAAGGCAAAAGTTTTGCCAATTTCTGTCAGCTATTTACTATTGCTCTGCTATTGTCTGATACCCTGCGCTCATATGCACAGCTTAAAGGGGTATAACCAACTGCAAGTGTAAGGCTCTATTGAAATGGAAGTTTCTTAGCGAAAAGCTGAGGCTTAAGCTCTATATCTTTTGCTGTCAATGGGAAAACACAGTTAACTTACAGGGTATCTGCCAGTCAGGCGCATTCCTGCCTAGCTTTTTTTTTGGTGGCTTTTGGCTCATATTTTGTGAAATCGTCTATTATTGTCATCATGCTAACGTTCGATTGGCATATACGCATATGAATATACATATATATATATATATATATATATATATATATATATATATATATATCTATATCTATATTTATTTGTATGTATGTGTATATATATATAAATATGTATACATATTTTTATTTGCATTTGTGTTGGCTTTTGAATTTGCCAATTGGGCTCGTTGTCTCTTAGTCACAATTCAAATATTTTTATTATTGCAATGAAAGCTGGCCAATTAGCAGCTCTCCACACACACACACACACTCACCCACACATACATATATATATATATACATATATACACACACATACATGTGAGTAGTGTGCATTTGTTTGGCATATAAAGAAATTATTTATTAAATATAACTGAGTCACTCGAGTGGGCTGACTGAAATGATAAGTGTTCAGAGATATGATATGATATGATATAATATATGGTAAATACTATATACCATATAATGGTTAAACTCGTAAACTCTACAAAAATTGTTAGCTACAAAATAAAAACAAATGAATTCTTTCTATGAGAGTTGAAGTTCGCATAATAAAGTTAATTATTATAAAATATGACTTTAATTTATTATTCATATTATTCAAAATTGTTAAGTTGTATATAAGAATATGCATTATCACAATCCTATAATGATTTTTCTCATAGATTATTTAATTAATAAGTAAATTAAATTTATTCGTCTAGAGACTTGATAATCTGTTATGGAAACATATATATAAATATATATATTTTTTTTTTTAATTGCTGTTTTTATTTGCAATCTGTCTTATACTAGACAATAAACAAATTTGTGGAAATATATGAAATCTGATATGGAATATATATATATATAAGTATATATATAAGTATGTTGTGTGTAACCTCTGACAGCCTTCATTTTGATTGTTATATTTGCTGAGAGACTACGCTTGAATATATATAGGTCTATATATCTGAATATAGATATCTGGCTTATGTAGCTCTGCTCGTTCGAGGGCTGACAAGTCAAGAGATTGAAAGTTCCTTTAGATATATCTAATATGTATATATCGAAAAATATAATTTAAAAAATTGCGTGGCTTTAGAGCTTGAACTACCTTTATCACTGCAGAGTGGATCCATAGATAGATCGATAAATTCTATAGATAATTTATTGGAACATCGATTTACTTTCGACATTTGGCATTTGCTTCATATAATACACTTTCATATAGGGCTGCTCTCAGCTGCTCGTTTGTTATGCATATGTCAGAGCTTAAATTTAATTTTATAGATACGCATTGTTGCGATATCAGAGTCTCATTTAGATCTATATTAGCAGCTCTGTTTCTATTGTTCCCGAGTTTCGCTTTGACACCAAATTGTTTTGGAAAGTGAAAATGCTTTCACCTTCAACAATTCATTATAAAAATTTAAAAAAAAGATAGCAAAATTTGTGTTAGAGTAAGAGAGAACAATTAAATAAAATACACACACACACATACACACGCGCGCAACCACATGGGAACAAAATAATTTGGTATGTAACAACAAACCACAAACAACAATGAGCTGAAGGTGCTCTCATTGCTGGGATAGACTTGGGACTTGAATCTTCGTCTGTGCAGCCAACTAGCTGCCAATGTCAGGCAGACATTGCATGATGGATAATTATATAGCTATGAGAGCAGTTCATTATAATTTGCACATCAATAAACTTTGACAGAGACTCGGTTGATTGACAGACGGGGCAAACAATTTGTTACCGTTTGCTCCTCACAGAGGAAGCTCTTGGAGGCCACGCCAGGCCAGGCTAGGCCAGCATTATGCAATTTGTATTTTTTTTCTTTTCTTTTTCAAAATTAAATCAATATTAAATATGATTATAATTTAATTTGTAGCGGACATGCAGCAGCAAAAGCTTTGAATATTTTGTACTTCCTGCAAGACGTCAAGCTTTATTAAATTACATGGAAATATTTTCACATATTCATAGTTTATACGTAATAGCAGCTACAGTTAGCTGATCATGATTTGAGTCTCAGGGTCCAGCTTGCAGATCTGTAATTCGATGAGCGTGCAAATGAATGCAGCTGCTGTGACAATCACGGGTTATCGAAACCATTGAAGCTGTTGAGATCATAAGAAAATAAACTGCAATACGAGATGTGTTCGATGAGACCTCAAATAAGCTAAAAGCTTCAACTTGAAATTGCCTCTGATTCATTAAATGTTCCTTTTGAATTTCCCATAAAAATTCTAATAAATGCATCAATCACATTTTGTTTAAACTTCACTATCATAACCAATCAGAAACCGAGAAAGGGGCTCCTGAATTTCAAATTATTCCAACTGTTCTATATGTCCCAATCAATCAAACCTCAGTAATCGATGGGTTTCCTATTCTTTGTACAGAGGAGCTCAGACAGAACCAGAACGATAATTGTTAAGCTTCTCGGTCTATTGTCTTTACGTGAAATCAATAAGATTTGATTTTAAATTAGTCCACATTTGAAAATAAAAATAAAAAAAATAAAAATTCAATCCTGTAATGCACAAATCTTAATGCAAAGCGTCATGAAATAGGTACAGACAGAATGGATCAAAAGCTTAGGATATTTAACAATTTGAATTCAAAATTCTTCGAAATTCGAATTTGAGAACTAACAGAGCAACGCCTTAGCATATTTTATTTTATTATATTAGTATACTATATTGTATTATTATTATAAAAATATAATAATATAATATATATAAATTTCTTAAAAACAATCAAAATATATGGTTGCTGTAAACATTTACTTGGCTCAAAGCGAATTAAAGATATTCGCTACGTAACAAACTAAATTCTAATTGAGAAAGCTTACTAACTACATTTTTTAATACTCATTTTTTATTTTTTAATATATATATATTATTTTCTATCGCAAGAGTTTTTTTTTAAATCTGAATACTTTTGGAATAATTTAATTTATTACAAAATTATTCCAAAAGTATTCAGATTTAAAAAAAAACTCTTGCGATAGAAAATAATATATATATATATAATAGTTTGAATGTGTTGTGTGAACACGCTCTAAGAAAAAAAGAATATCTATTATATTTTTATATTATATTTCTGATCAACTTGTTGATATCTTATATAACACCTCACTATAAGATCTAAAATAAATAGACATTTAAATAGAAACCGTTTTCATGTGAGCTAATTGCTGCGCTGGTGAGTTCAAAACCCTCTTAAAATAGTTTTTAAAACGGCAATCAAATGCAACATATTTTCTTTTTGCAATATTTGTGTGTTTTGTGCGTCAAAGCTCATTAGTTGCGATTTGAAAAGCAAAAGGGCCCCCAGAAATAATGCGGAAAATCCGCATTAAAAACTCAAGTTTCCCCTGTGACACACAAAAACCGAATGCCCCGCTAAACAAGGAAAGTAATTTGCCATAGGTAAAAGAAACAGAGTCACCATGACATTTACAGACCATTCGACCAGACCATAAACAAATCCAGAAATGCTATTACTGGGCAAGTGGCAACTGCTAAATGGGCTGACCATAGCGAGGCCCTACACACACACACACAATAATATGTGAATACGTACACATAATTTTCATAGCAACTATGTCGAGCGACCTTAATTTGCAAGGTACTACGAACCCAAAACTATTAACCAGGTTATGCTAGGTGGAAATGAAGAGGGAGGCAGGCATGGAAGGAGGAGTGGTCATAATACTGCGTGCCAAGCAATTTCAAAGAAGTAAAGCTGAGCCAAAATCAGAGAAATGAGAGGGAAATGAGCTTTAGCAACGACTATGAATCAGCAATCAAAGAATATACAATATATATACATATATATATATACATAAGTCCGAGTAAAAAAACATTTTCAAAACTGGTTTTCATCAACTGGGACGTACCGACTCGCACACTCACATGCAAATTAGTTGATTTTGAAATTTTTGTTATTGTTTTTGACGCAGCTTTTTTTTTGCAAATTTGTCGATAAATTGTCGGACAACGGACGACAAGCGACGATATATGTATGCTGATGACTTCACCCCAAAAAAGATGTTTGCGCGCGTACGTGAGCCGAGCTTTTGTATTTTTGTTAAAAGCATTGAAAATAAAAATAAAATAAAAAAGAAACTATAAAATGTTGAGAAACTTGCGTTCAGAATGGCTTTTAATATTATCTAATCCAGGCTATAGTTCGGCTCATAAGAAAGAACAGCGAATAACAGTTACATTTGGTATAAGTGTGCGTGCGTGTAGGTTGTTGCCTTTGTCCAGACACTGTTTTTGTGTTCTTAGGCATTGAAGATCGGCGTTCTTTATATGGTCAATCAAGTGAGACAGCAAGAATGGTGGGCGCAAGGCGGAAACACGAAATTAAAGCACATGAATTGACGATTTTATGGCCATTTTGATGGGCAGCACTTTTAGCGAAGTGTCAAGTGCGGCATGTTATCGATAGCTGGCTGGTTGGTAAACGTTCTGCCATCGATTATTGCCCACCGTTAATCGTCACGTTTCCGTTATTTAAATAATCGCTTATTTTCGCTTTTACATGCTTCTGCATCTAAATGCATCCTGCTGCAATCAATGCTAATCAAAGCGAATTAAATTATTAAGTTCTTAGCAAAGATCTTAAGAATAAATTGCAGTCCCTGACAATTGGCATTCTATTCAGAGAGGGGCGGGCATAAGAGCTGTTCAATAAATTAAAAACAAAACTGGTTACTCAAACAAAACAAACAATAAAAGAACGTGTTAGTTCACTTAATTTATTAAATCGGCAAGTTGAAGCGGACTTTCGAAAAGGCCAGGGGTAAATACAAGTTGTATAATGTACACAGTATATACAAATATACACACATATATACATATGTTTATATGTGTACATAAATAAATATTAAACGTATCGTACGCCTACATAAAAGTGGTTCAAAAATGACAAAGCATTAGAGAGGTACGGTTAAAGCTGAAAATATTTCAGAGATTCAATCTCAATTCATTTCCTAACAAATAATAACAATTGGCTGTAAATCGTGATAAACGACAGACCTGAACTAAGCTACAACTTCAATTGATAGCCCAATCGCCAATTGTTCTCCAGACCGGGTTTTGGTTCAAAATAGAAAAAAATAAGAAAAAATAAAAACATGGTCAGCCAGTTGGGCGTAAGAGAAGAAAAAACTCGTTTCTCAGACAATGGCAAAAAGCAACGTTTTTTTGGACTGTGAACTAGATATTATAGAGTAGGCTCCGAACACTTTTTTACACAAAAATAGCCAGCATTATTGATAGCTGAGAGCATGTTATAGAAGTCTTTCAGTTTGAATAATTTCTAAAATGCGTGAGAACTCTAGAAAGTTTTAAAGAACTTTCAACTAGTCTTCATTGTATATAAAAGAAAAGTCTGGAAAATGCTGTAAATATTTAGGTTTTCAGTTAATGCGCCACAGCTGCGGTGTATTATATAGCTCATTTACATAGTAGACTTAGTAAAGTACAAAAGCTGGCCAAAATAAAATCAAAATAAATAATAAAATCAGCTAAAAATTACAGCCCGAGCTCATAAATTGGCGCACACGCTTCAACAGACCGCAAAAAAAGGCGCGCTTGATGACTCGAACCACGAACTAGCCCAACACCTACACAATAGACCAGTCCCAAGCCTAATTACGTCAGTCAGCCATAGCTATACGAACTATTATATACTATATTATGCCTGGACATCAACTAAAATGGCCCACAACTCACAGAAACATCAAAAGCAACAACGACAACAAATGGCAAATGTGGCATTGTGTTTATGACGCATCAGCGACCATCAGAGCCTCCAAAAATTAATTAGACACCCATTTTTGTAGATATGTTTTTTTCGTTTTGCATATGCGAAAAACTTTGCGAAACTGAGAGCTAAACTCACTTTTGTTAATCTGATTTATGCGGCATCAGCATGCCACATGCCACATGCCACATTCTACGTGCCACAAGTCCTGCGCCTTTTAGCTTACAAATTAATTGAAATATTTCGAGTCGTAACTCGCGAATGACAAATCGAATCACTCAACGGCGCATTTGACCTTTGCGGCCTGGCCAAGAGGCAAAAGCTTAAAGCGAATTGCCATTGTTTTTCTGCTCTTTTCGGTTAATGAAAAGTGGAACATGGGAAAATGTTTTGTTTCGCTGGATGAGCGCAATAATTTTAATGAGCAATGCTCCACGGCAGCAAATGTTAAATGATTCACTTAGGTGCGTTTTCTTATGGCTTTTTAATAGGCGTACGAGCAGACAATCGATTATCGATAGGTCATCCAAAGGCATGGGAACCAAATTTCCAAAAAATGCATATTTAAAAAGGAAGACAGAAGTCTTGAAGGTTGATAGTCCATAACTCTGCTATCTAATAATATTAATAAAAAGTGTCCTTGAGAAGTGTGTTTCGTGTTACAGCTGGTATTGTGGGTCAATTCCCTAGAGTGGCCATCGTACTATATACTTTCGAATTGAAGATGAAGTCATGCGACAATTTTAAAAACCCCGAACAACAACGAATTACAACTCTTCGCATGACTAAACCAACTCACTCGTAAAGCTCTCTCAACCAAAAAAAAAAAAAACAAAACAAAACCTGCATACGCATCGACTTTAATTCAAGTTCAACGTTTTGTTCCGTCCTCTGTCTGGGTTACTGACACCAAAGGGCACTACACTTCCTAGAACACATACCCATTTCCTAGCAGCTCTTTTGGAGCGAGTGGTTCCATTGACATTAACGTTGCGTTTACATGACGAATGGGCAAAAGTCAATATAATTGATAAGAAAACAGAATTTGTCAGCGACAAAGAACATTTCCATTAGCCTAACTATTTACTGGGTGGTAAGCGAGGGATTGGGCGGCAGTGGGGACTCCAAATAGTTTCGGCTTAGTACGCAGCAAGCAATATGCTAATGAACGGCCACGAACTTGAGCCGGGCGGTTGTAATGCCTTGAACCAGAACGTTAGAGCGTTATCTGGGTATTAGCTCTGGATATTAGCTATAGAAAATTGTCTATTACTCGTGTGTAAACAGGTGTGCGTGCACACACAACACCCACTGTGGTTCAAGGTCGTCGTCGCGCACAGCCGTTGATAGAGATAAACAAATTGGCGTCTGTTTCTTGGTAATGTCTTTGGCTGCTAGCGATATCAGGCGACAGCGAGCTGATTAAAGAATAAAAGATCTAAAGAAGTGGTCAGGCTGCAACGGCTTATATACTTTGCAGGCAACTAATGTAAAGTAAAAGCATGAAAAATCGATAACATTACGTAGATAACTACTGTGCATATACATATGTACATACGTTCATGCACACATACACATACATACATATGTATGTGCATTGCATGTGTGTTTGTAGTTCAGTAGTTTACTGCGCACTTTTGTCGTGAATTCAGTGACATGTCAGGCAAACATTTCGTTGACCATTCACTTGGGACATATACATACATACATACATACATTCATATGTATGTAAATATTCTATGGCTGTCATGTACTTGTGTGTATAAATATTTAATACATTGTCGTCCTTTATTGCAGTTGACAAAATGTGTATTGCTGCATTTGGCCGCTGAACAGGTGTAAGAGTGCGTTTGTATATACAAAAAACAGAATCAATCAATATGCATTAAATTATGCATATACTATATATATATACATATATGATTGTATTAATGACAGGGAATTGTGGCAGCTTGTATAAAGTGAAGTCACAAAATCAATATAAATCAAAAGATGAGTCAGCATATGCGATCAGCGCTGACAGCAAGCGGAACCATTCAGCGTAAAGTTTTGAAGTTCGCACTATCGATAAAAGCTTCAAGTAATCGAAGGATAGAAGTCGATCAGCGTTGCCAGAATACTTGAACATCGGCAAAATTTCGATCATTAACATATTTGTTAAAACATTAGTTTTAGAAGTTGTGCTAACTTACCTCAATTTTGCCTGAATAATCCTCAATTAATTTCTCCTGCTGTTTGACCAGCTCCTCGTTCTTTTCTAGCAACGCTTTCCCTAGCTCCGCTGCTAATAGTATATCCGATTCCTTTTGCTGTAATTGAGCCCACACATCCGGCTCGTTGTCATTGCGTCGTGCCTCCATGGCGCTGATGTAATGTTCTAAATCAATTGAAGCGTCAATTAGTGAGGAGTGCGAATGGTTATCGTAGAGTGGCGATGACAAATCGACTGCAGAATCTTTAGCTGTTGCCACTGCTGCTGTGCCGGCCGTTGTGGGCTTGCTGAATTGACGTGCACGTTTTGATTTGTTGTTGTTGTTGTTTGATATGGATGAGGCAATACCGGCAGCAGTTATAGGATTTGCTAGCTTTGGTCTATGCATGATCGTTAACGGCAGGCGGTAAGTGGTGGTGGTTGGGTGGTATTACGAACAACAAACAAAACACACACAAACATAACACAAAAATGCGATATATATATATATATGTATATATATTATTGCTTGTTAGACTTGATGAAGGCAATCGAGCGAGCGAGCGAGCGATTAGCGATTTATTTTGTTAGCGGCGATTATTCTTTGTTTTTTCTTTATTTTAGGTTAGGTTTTCAGATACAAGACAACGCGTTGTAGTCGCTCTTGTTGCTCCTGCTGCGGTTGTTGTTGATATTGTTGAAGTCGCTGATGATGTTGTAGCTGTGCCTCGGGAATGATAGGCCCAAGCCACATGATGTTTCCATAGATGTCCGCTGCCCAAGAGCAGCCCAGCATGCGTTTATATGACGATTTAACTATTATTGTTGGTAAATAACAGGCAAGTTTAGTAAGTAAGTAGCATTACTGTGAATTAGAGCCAATTTGGCTGCAAGGCATATGGAAATATAATACAAGACCTGCTCACCGCCCCAAATGCGAGCACGTAAACTGAGCTAAGCTAACCAAAAAGGAGCGCCGATCACGTTGCACATTTACAAGCACGTTTTCGATTACAGGGTAAGGGCTGTCGATGTGGAGGGGCGACCAGGTCGATGTATGTATATACATTTGCATGTATGCATATGTGTATGTACACACATGATGACATATAAATACTGAATATGATGAGCGTTTAGTTAAGCTGCATGCAGTAGGTTTAATGCCTGGGGGCAGCTACGGGTTAAGAATTTGGTTACTTTTCGAAAAGTGAAGGGAGCAAGTCAATAGAATTTTTCCAAAGTTTAGTTTATATATATATGCATTTCCATTTTGAGACTTGTTACTTTATATATCTATCTTAAATTTTGTTGAGCTTTATAAAGCTTGGCTTAAATATTATTTCTACTGATTTACGTGACAAAATGTGTTAAATACGATTGTGTATATATATACATATGTATGTATATATGAGTACGGTTGTGTATGTTGGGTTTTAGTTAGGGAAAATCGTGCTTCAGCTTGGTTTAGATCAGTTAAGTTTAGTTTAATTTTCAAGTTAGGTTTTCAGCATAATATAAGGTAAGACAATATCGCATTTCTGGGTTAAATCTAAGTATTTATTTATAATGTTTTACGTCAATGGAGCAAACGAAGCTTTTAACGCCTGCAAATCGGGTTACGTCGCGCCAAATTTGGATTGGGTATTATTAGTTTAGCTTTAAATACGAATTTCTAATGCTTCATTTCGTATATATATTTGTATATTGAAAATTCATTTGGCAAGCACTTCACGCTTTACTGCATTTGGTGGCAGCAGCTTTTGTTGTTGTTGTTGTTATTGTTTAAGCCAATATAAAATGCGCTTAATGCGTTTGTTTTTTGGCTAACATTTCATTTGTTTTATTATTGGTTAGCAACACACGCACACACACACATAGATAGTTGATGTTTTTGTTGTGTATGATTGGCTAGAGTCAAGCACTTCCGTTATATGGGCCACAGTCACATAGCTTATATATATATATATATATATTCTGTCTGGTTCTCAGTTTTTATTGACAAAACAACAACAAGAGAAAAAAATTGAACGCGCGCTTTGCATGCATTTAGCTCTCGACTCGAATTGTATCTATAAAAAAGATACTACTTTCCACTTTCGCAACAAGCCAACTAACTAACTAACTATGAATGTATTTAGGTAGATGGATATATCATAACAAACAGAAACCTCTCGGTCACGACGACTGCGGCGACGACAACAACAAGCCAAAAAGAACTTCCGAATCCGATGTCGATGCCGATGCCGATGCCGAGAAACGCGACTTTTTTGGTAGTTCGCTTTTGGGTTTTTCTTTTGTTTTGGTCTGTGGTTCGTTCGGGTTCCGCTATGGAGTGCACGATGTCTGTTTGGCGCGAGGTTTCGGTATTAACTGAAACTGGCTGCCATACTACAGAAATTGGCAAAACAAATGAGTAACCAAGCCAACTTGGTAACTTGGCAACAACAACAACTCGGCAAATGGCCAAAGCTACGAACAGAGAGAGCGAGCGAGAGAGAGAGCGCTCTGCTGTGCCTAAGAGAAACTCTTTAGGGCTGCCAAGTGCTTTGAAAGTGATATGAAATTGTAGTAAGTCAATAAAGTCATATCTCAAGGCTGTTAATATATGTGGGCTATATCGAATAGATAAGATAATAACTGAAATTAATATAGATAAGAATTTATTAATGACCTAATACTTGGGTAATATATATTTTTTGTTTGTTGACATTAGATAATATAAGAATTTATAATGTGATGTAACTAAATATATAAGCATATGAATAATTTAATATTTAATACCAATAATTCTGTTAAAAAGTTATTTCCTTATATTTAGAAATTTCACTAAAATGTTACGCTCATTATTATGTAATAAATATTTACAAATTTTTATGCTGCACAATTATTGGGAAACAATTTAAAAATATTAAATAGTAACTTAAAAAATTACTTAGAATATATTTTTCATACATATTTATTTACCATTTTAAATATACAAATATTTGAAATTAACTTTAGATATTTTGGTTTTTTATTTTTACTACCATTTTAAGATAATTATTATTACTTCTGAGCTTCGGCAATTTAATATTTTGTATGTTTATAGGTTTATTTATCAAATTTAAATTTCGAACAGCTCGACAGCCCCATTGAGCAGCATTTCAATGCAAACCTAACCTGTTTATAAACAACAACTAAACGCGCTCTCTTAAGTGCCAGCTGTTACATCGCGCTCTCACGTTGCTGTCGCTGTTGTTGTCGCTCTCTCTTTCTGTCGCACTCTCTGTTAACCCTTTTGCGGCTTACGAAAGCGTTCAAGTGAACTACATTGAAACTGTCTGTTGTGCCTGCGACGAAAAGGGGAAGGGAGAGAGAGAGAAGGGAGCTGCAGTGCACAGCGAATATTTCAATGAAAATCAAATTTACATACGACGCCAAGCCAGAGCGAAACAACAGTAACAACAACAATAGAGAACATAAGAGCGGCAATAACAATGGAGCACAGACATAGACATTGGGTCTAGTGCGTGGTACCACAACCAACAAATCCCAAGACCCAAACAACATGCACAATGAACGCTTCAAGTGGCAAAAATCAAAAAAAAAAAAACTGAAGATGCCTCGAGCTCAACTCTTGCGCCTGGCCCCATTGTTCTAACAGAGACCCGTAGACCGGAGACCGGAGATGGCAAGCCAAAGACCCAGACCCCTTGCTAACCCTTCCTCAGACAGACAAGACAACTCTAGCCATTAGGCGGAACTATGTGGCCATCCATTGCGTGGCCTTTTGTTTATGTTTGGGGCGTCTGTTGATTGTTGATGGCTACTGTTTGGTCATTTACCAAATTGAGCATTTGACTGTTTAGCTGGCTGCTTCGTAATTAACCAGGCGTAACCAAGAACTTGCTTGAGGAGTGAAACTTGGGCGTTTCCGTTGTCGATCTTAAGTTTTTGTCTTGCAGCTCCTCAAACTCGAACCGGGTGGTCGGTCGGGTCAGTCGCCTCCTTTGGAGCCAGTTGGTCAATATTTGTAGGGCATCGATCGATCTGCACTCACTGTAACGACGCGTAACGAGGCATGTTCTTGAGCTGCTTTACAGATCTTGCACTCTCGATCTTCTTGCGGTCATTTAGAAGACTAATGCAATTTCTACCTCTCTCCCTCTCTCTCACTTCGGATGGCGCCCAAACTGGTTTCGGTTTTGATTTGTGCTCTGCAGCTTATTGTACATTTGTGTTTAATTATTTCTTATGATACCCTGTAAATGGCAGGTTAGATGGGGTAAGCTAGCTTGGCCAAGTCATAGTTAAACAACAATATAGCCAAAAAGGTTGCTTTTATAGATGGAACATGAGATTTAGACTTCTGAATAGATCTATTTTTGTGTTTGACATTTTCAGTTATACATTCTGATCTGATTCTCTTTAAATACAAGATAATACAGTTGATTCTAGAAAAGTATATTTTCATTATAAAGATGTACTGATTGAATTAATTCAATTTTGTGCTAAGCAGATGCCGTCGTTGGCTGGATAATATATCTATAATATAATATATTTTATATAACTATGATATGTCTATAGGAAAAATCGTAATTAATATTTATCTAAACGATCTCTTCTAAAGGAAATAAGATTCAGAATAAGAAAATTAAAGAATTTCACATTATTGATAGCCTTTGCTTACTGCATGCTACCTTAATACCAACCTCTAACTAGTTCCATATCAATATATCAAAAATGTTATCATATCTGAGGAACTTTTAAAATAAAGCTTTATATATATAATATATATATTATTAGCTAACTAAAGTTGTATATTAGGATTTAGTATTACTCAAATTATTCCATAGTTATTCAGGTAAGATCTTTTGGATTGTCATAATAAAATATTTTCATATGACAATTCCAAAATTAATCCTAAACTATCAAAGGCATGTGATACTTGATATAGCTCACATGATTTAATTTTAATTAAGCTGCATTTTCTAGAGTATAGGCCACGCCTGGCTGCATTTCTTGTGCCTTGGCTAATAATACCATAATTATGATGTGTTTTTTTCGCACTTGCCATGGGCATGAGTCAACAGCTCTGGGGCATTACAAGCTTTGCTTTGCTTTGCTTTATGCGCGAAGTTTTTGTTATGTATCGCGTTTTGTTTGTGTTTTCATATTTTCGCAATGCATTGCGATTTTTTGTGAGCCAATGACAAGAGAACTTGGTTCGGTCAGTGCGTTGGCTATTGGATATGTGTGTCAAAGACAGTTAAGGATCTCCACCCAGCAGAGCGAATCGTGTGCGCGGCAACCAGATACAGATAGAGACACAGATACATTTCAATTACAACATTACAGCGCATTCTAAGAACCTTGAAGTCCAATTCTTAGCCCAGATACCAGGCAGCATATTTCCAAATGGCTTAAAGCTAAGCCAAAATACCGCTAAAAAGGTCAAAACTGGGCGTGAGAATTCAGAATTCAGTCCAGTTGACGAGCCCAGACCCAGTGCCTCCAC